GTCTAGCATTCATAACAATAGAGTGTATAACAACGGGAAAAGGCAGCAACTTATGTGGCTTGGAAATATCAGCAAACGAGACAATATTATCGAATAAAATAGACCCAAGATCAAAAAAGACACCAATAAAGATACGATTAGAGATGTTAAACGGGCTAGCCCTAGCGGTTTCGGGCTAGCCCTATCGGGCTTCGGCTTAAACGGTCCGGGCCTAAAAAGCCTGGATTTAAACGGGCTACCAGAAAAGGGACCTAACCCTAGCCCTAGCGGGCTTAATTCGGGCTAAATGGGCTATGCGGGCTACAATAATAATAATAATAATAATAATAATAATAATAATAATAATAATAATAATAATAATAATAATAATAATAATAATAATAATAATAATAATAATAATAATAATAAATAAAAAGAGTAAAAAATATATTAAAAAAAATAACAACGGCTAGTTAAAAATTGTTTTCAACGGCTATTTAGTATTTACCGCCTATCACTATGTTTCATGTGTTTCTTATTAGTCGTTCTGATTGGCTCAAATATTTTCGTATGAAGTACAATAACATTATTATTAATAATTATCTTTCAAAATCATAATAATTCATTACAACTCATACTTACATGTGAAGTGGAAAACCAAATTTGTATGTACAAGTAATTAAGAGCATATTACTTACTTTATGCAAACATTTACACCGCCCAACCCTAGTTAAACGGGCCAGCCCTAGTAGGTTTCGGGCTAGCACTAGCAGGCTTCGGGCTAAACGTTCAGGGCCTGAAAAAGCCCTGATTTAAACGGGCTACTAATAAAAGGACCTAACCCTGTTTTTTTTTTCGGGCTAAACGGGCCGGCCCGTCGGGCCAATGATCATTTAACATCTCTAGCTACGATAGATGAAACGACCTTGAATAGAAGTAACTTTCTTCTTATGATTGGTAGGGGTCCAGTTTAGTGAGCCATGTTTTTGAAAGGCATTGGCTTGATCAATCAAATTCTTCACAAATAGGCTCAGAGGGGTCCATTTGTTGAGCTGACCCCCAGTAATCACAACAATTACTTTATCAAGGTCATCATCTAAAAGAGACAGAGAAGAACCTTCACCAAACCCAAGAAACTTATTGATCACATCAGGCGAGAACTCAACCACGCATTTCCTCACAAACACTTTATAAAATATCAAGGATTTGGGATCAGAGACAGAAAAACACAGGTTTGTATAAAACTCATAGACAAGCTTAGGACAAAAGGTGCTATCAATCTGAACGGATTTTTCAGGACCTACCATTTTCAGAAGATCAAATAGACCAAGGCGCTCAAAATGAGAAAACACCTCATTGTACCTGGAGTCGGCGAGAGGTGAGTAGAACAGACGAGAAAAGTAATACTAACATCCTAGTAAGTAGAACCATCATCACCAGCAGAACCAACTTTGTTCGGCACAATATCAGACTTTGGGCCCATAGCATCAGGCCCTTCCATTTCATCGATAAGCTTGTCGACGAAATCCTTCTTCGACTCTTCTTCCTCTGAATCTGGGGATGAGTCACCTTCGAACCCAGATGAAGGGTTTTGGGGTACATGAGTAGTCACCACAACAACATATTTTCTCGGTTTTTTGGATTTCTCCCCCGCAAGTGGTGAGAGTTTTGTCTTAGGACTTCTTTGAGGTTGAGAGTAGCCTCCTTTGAGGTTGAGGTTGCTTTTGGTATGAGATTTATCGATGTCCATCTCAGAGGTTGCAGTTAGAGTTTCTGAAGAGGTAGTAGCCTTGCGTGTAGACCACTAGGGTTTTCAGGAGCATTGTTATTCTTTTTACAAAGGATTTCTTAGCACGAGGCATTTTAAAGGCAACAGATAGCAAAAACTAGGGATTCAAAAATGGTAAGGAAGAGAAAGATGTTAGGGTTATCACAGTGAAGAGATGAAGAGATTTTTGGGTTTATATGAAAGATAATAACAACGAATTTGCTCAATGCTAATTATGGTTCTTGAAACGCGAACCGGGATATGGTAGAGATAGAAATGCTCCCCTACTCACGGTGGGCACATGTTAATATGCCCACCGCGTAGGTGGCATGCACTCATTGGTGATGTTAATATGTTTAAAAAATACATCACCAATGAGTGCATGCCACCTACGCGATGGACATATATTAACATGTGCCCGAGTAGGTGAACATTTCTCACAGATACGTCGTTTCAACTTCTCTAATTTGAAATCATAAAACTCATGCTTTAATTTGGGTAAAATTTCCTTCCAAAACACTTACCAACATGTGACACTTGTTACCAATAATACTGAGAACCTTCGAACATGGAAACAAGTATATCAGTACCAAAAATATTTGCACAAAATAGAACATTTTTTTTCATCAGAAAATCATATGCAAAATATGTCTATGATGCACACAATACATAATATATCACACAACACAAGTCTATCGAAATTCAATATATGAGGAATCATTTTCAAATTAGTTGATCAAAGAATCTTTTCTGCATATTCTCCATGACCACAACACTAAACAAAGGAAAGGATGATCGAAAATTCTTACGAGAACAACACCTTATAACTCCATTTTAATATAACACGCAATTGAAATGAGTCTACACACCATTTTCTCTTAGCAATAATCAAAATTTTTGTTTGAAAATCAGCACAAATACTAATGATGTGTTAACCCCGTTCCATGAACTTCCACACCTTTTCACTTACTAACACCGACTATACGCCAATGTCAAGCCCATTACTTGTGTGAATCATACCGCAAAAATTTAATTCTTTTTCACATATGCTGAGACAAGATGGAGAGTGGCCAACCTTATTCACCAATGAACTTTTAGTGCCTTAAGCAATGACTACAAGTAGCTATCTCACCTATATTATTGTTAAGTGCGTAACTCATTTCACAGGTGATCGCAAGTGAAGCACCTCATGTGACAGTTTCAAGCGTGCAACTCTTACAAGTAGAATTGTATGGTCACTATGTCGTGATTACTTCGAAATATTGAATCTGAATACTTCAACAACATTTGATTGTAAATCACTCATGTACCAGTTTAGACAACCTTGTGATGAACTACATTATTTTTTGATACTTTGATGCCTAATGCAGTCAGCCTACATGAAGAGATGTTGAACAACTAAACGACATAAAGACTACGAGATACTGAATAGGGCACCTTGCGGAGCGATGGGTTGGCCCAGCTAAGTTAATATACAATAAGGGGCCCCTAAGGTTTTCGAGTCGTATTGGGGATAGACATATTGTCATGGGCCCGGGAAACTGTTTACTGATTTTCCTGTAAGTGGGTGGTTTCCATATGTGAGATCATCGAAAAAGGGATTTTCAAACCTTTCAAAAAGTGGATAGGGGTTACATCCTTTGGCAGAGGATGAGACACCTTTTCTGCTAACCCTTCAATAAAGAGAGAGAAACTTAGAAAAAATTATCGTCCCACCGTTGTGTGTGTCTTTTTATGAACGAATGGACTCATTTCAACGTCCGAAGGTATTAACTCATGACCTTTCAAGCGAATCGATAAGATAAAAATTGTCAAGTTTCTGCCCCAAAGCCATTGTATTGATTGAAGGGTTGGACTTATTACTATAAATATTTATAGGGTTTTACCTCTTAAAAAATTATCACTCTCGATCTCGAATTCTCTCTTGGTAAAAAAAGTAAGGTTCACTTTTTTCGGTAAACCAGCATATCCGACCATGTAAATTTAATTATTTTCTTTCTTCTTTTTCAAATGAAATCTCCATGTTTGGGAGTAGTCAAGAGTACGACATGGACCTAGTTAATTTGGCCCTAGAGGGCGATCAAGGGGGCCAAATAAGAGAGTCGATCATTGCTACGAGCGATTTTGGGGAAGAACAAACTTAGATAGATGAGGAGGCCGTGGGGCCGACTCCGGATGATTATTGGAGATGACCGTCGGTGGAGGAGCCTAAGGAGCCTGGCGAGATGGAGATTTGCAAATGAGCTAGTACCTCAAAGGACGCCGACTTATTGAGATTGAGGGAACAATTCAGGGTTCTAGCATTGGTCAAAATGCTCTCGTCGTACGAGAATGAACGAATCCATTGTCCGCCGTCGAGATGTGTTTACACATTCAAAAGTCTGTGGTATCAGGATTGAGGTTCCCTCTTCCTTGGGTATTTTTGGAGTATATGAAAGAGTGGGGGTTCGACATTAGCAATTATCATCAGAATACTTGGTCGTCTTTGTTCTCTGATAGTGCTTTTCAAACAGAAGAGGTGGTCGGCACTATCAGTGAGAGAGTTAGATTCCGTCTTGGTGTGGAAGCCTTCAACAAAGGAGGATAGGATACTTCCGTCTGGAGCCGCGAGATGACAAGTATGCCAATTTGGTTAAGGACATCCCTGAGTATTGGCATAAGTGGAAACAAGAATGGTTATGGGTATCAGGAGAATGGAAAACCCGTTGATCGACTAGCCATTCATTATACGTGTTGATGGCTCTTATAGAAAAAAACACGTAACCTTTTTGTTGTCAATCTTTGTAGATCTCTTTAATGATCTAATTTTGTTTATTTTATTCTTCTTTTTGGTGCATCAAAGAAAGTTGTGCCACTTGTTAATATGAGATTCAAGAATAATCGGAGACCACTTTGGTGTTATACGATATCTGAGAGGAGTTGGCGATCCTTGATGACGAGTGAGTTGGCTTTAGCTGGTTTCCACCCGACTGATGACGATAAGTCAATTCAACTAAGTATATTTCCCTCCTCATAAGATGTAGAGATATCCAATGATCGTCATTGATTGAAAAGTGGACCGTCTGTCACTTTATTTAGTTTTGATAATCGTTTTTTTTTTCTTTTGATCAGCAGTATCACTGGCCCATTAATGAACATGTTGTACGCTTCTTCTACCGAAGAGTACAAATAGATGGGTTGGATGTAGAAGTTTAAGAAGTAGAAGAATAAAGGATCAGCATCCCAAGGATTGGCGTCACTGAAGCAACCAGAATCAGCGTTGAGATCCCCTCAAGGGGCCGACCTCTTCCAGTCCAAAGAGGCCAGGAGTCGGGGGCCGATCGACAAGCGCGATTTGGGAAACCGTAGCAGCATAAAAACGGCTGAGGAGGGAGTTTTCCCAACGCGATCGTCTCCCTACCCCACCCCTGTCAGAGAAGTTGATGAACAATTGATGAGAGAGAGAGAGAGAGAGAGAGAGAGAGAGAGAGAGAGAGAGAGAGAGAGAGAGAATTAGTGGGGGTAATATTCTCTATGTATAAAGTCAAAATTAACATTAATAGATTAATATCGACAACCTAGGTGCCCTCAATAACTTCTTTAATTAATTAGGCCCTTCCCTTTGCTATCACCAAAAGTTGGCGGATTTCATCGGTGATACTTTCATTCTTAGGTGGAGATTCATGCACTTAGCTCTCACCGGTAGACCTCCCTCAGTTCTCCAATAAAATGAAGCCCATTTTCTCAACAGCAATGTACACCAGACGTGATAAATGGGCAGATTAGCACGATCGATTATAAGTATGCCGAATTTGGAACAAGTCCAGGTACATTTCTCCAGATTGGGCTGGTTTCAGTAGGTCCCAGGTGAGACCCAACATGGGCAAAAGAAAATGTTGCAATAAAAAAATGACAAAAGAAAAAGAAACGTTAAACAAGAAAATCTAGTTTAGTTCACCTTCTACTCCAACATACCAGCATATCTTCAACTATGGCATGTACTTCTACGTAGAGTTTCAACTGAATTTCAAAGCTATTCGGATAAAGCATAATAAAGAAGTTACAGAAAAGAAAATATGCTCTGAAACCCAAGCGATGAGTTGTGTCTCTTAGCTTCTCCGGGGATTGCCAGTGAGCAAAGCTGTCTTTCTCCTAAACTTGGGGACAGCAGTTTGATCGCATCGCTTTGACCAGAGATTACAGGGAGTTGAATTTCATCTTTTTTCATTGATACACAGGTACCAGGAACCTCATCCTGTGCAAGAGAAGTTGCACATACCAGGGTCAGTAACGTAAATTGACAGTTACAAACTGCTGAAAACCTGGAAATTGTTTCTCCTTATGTTCTTACATTTTGAAGACTTGTTTCTTGAGGAGCAAGTGCTCCAGACTCAATATTCTGATGTTCAGTCGCTCGTTTGTCTTCTACATTCCAAAAATCTGCAGGAAATTTACGTACCTTGAGTATGGTAGTAAGAATTCACTATAACAAATTCCTCGAGGATTAGTTATACAAAAATTATCTATCATATTCACAAGAACCCCTCCTGACAGTTATTACTTTGCAAATCTCACCTTGTTAAATGGAAGAGGAGTTTTGTAATACTCTCAGAGGCTCTTAGTAGTGTAAATATGTAACTTTTTAATGCTCACCTGTGTCTTTGAATAGGTCAAAGAGGTTGTCTGGCGAAAAATTGAAGTTCACGTCCTGCTGTGGTTCGGTAAGTTCAAAATACTGAGAATTTCGTGAAATTTTACTTCCCTTCTGTAGTCCTGAAACCTCGATGTCATTATCCAGTTCATGATGTCTCTCGCGAGTGCGTTTTCTGATAAGTGTGAAGGCTTCTAGAGATGGCGAAGGTGTGTCACTGGAGATTGGCAAAACAGGCAAACTCTTTGCCTTTGTTCGAATATGGTCGAACACAGTCCTTTCCGTTATAATTTTACAGTCATCAATCTCAGTTTCATCAACCAACATGTCTACAACATATGAAAAGCAAACAGTGATGGTGAGAGGGGCAGCACTAAAATATAACCTGAGAAAATAGGCTTTTACCATCTTCCGTATCTTCATCAATAAGCTTGAAGCTGGGCCTGGACACAAAAAGTTTATCAATCAAATGGTTCAGTGTTATACAAAATGAGCCAGGAATTATAAATGGTCAGAGTTTCTCGTTTGTTAGAACTGGCAAAATTTTAGCATTCAACAACTATAAGAATTTCAACAGCAAGCCAGGAATATCTTATGTGAGTAATGTAAATGGTTAAGTAATGAATAAAAATAGTGTCGTGTTAAAATTATAAATAAACCATTTCTCAGGATTTGTTTCATTTTTAAAAATAAAACACGGAAGAGATAGAATTGCTCAAGTGAATACAGACCCTCCAGAAGGTACTTTTTGCAAGTTTCAGATACTGCTGGATCCTTTTGAAATTTGTCCAAAGCATAAGATTAGTTACGTGATTAGTATACGAACAAAAGTATTGATGAACCGAACATAGTACATACATGGAAATTGAGTTCTCTATCAATTTATTAGAAGCAGCAGAGGCATGATCGTCATCGTCTTCTAAGGTGTGAACATCCTTGGGGTAAAATGGGGTGAGATCCTTCGGTCTATGTTTGTTGGTGAGTTTTATGTCTAACGGTGGCGTGATAATAACCTTTTGATGGAGATCAATGCCAACTGCCATAAAAGGAAAAGCAATCTAGATGCATCATTGTTCAGCACAAAATACAACATGTGTGTGCATGAACGTAAGTTTAGGAAAGGTGTTACTGAATTCTTCATGTATTAGATCCGCTTTAATTGTCAGCTTTCCTTGCCGAGGACTTGAATATAACACCGTAGCACAGTAAGGACTGCAAAGGGGTCAACAATGTTTTGAAACAAAATTTTTGTGTACACATACACCAGGCATCTATTTCGTGAGAAAAGAGAATCATGAATTGAAAAGGATATTTTTTTTTTAACAAACTAACTAAAGGTTTTGGATCTTTAGTTTTCATACCTTGAGAAGTCCTCCAATCTGGATCATCAAATAATAATTTCAGAAATAACGAATGAGGTATAAGGACCAACAATCTTTAGCATCTGTAGTCTAAGGTAAAACAATTTCCTATACCTTATTTTTTCATAGAATAGAATGAGGTTATCATCTTCAACACCAACAATCTGAGAAACAATTCAAATGTTCAAATTCAAATTTATGAGAAAATTGATGGTAAATGTAAACGTTAATATCTACATTGCAAGTTTTTGAGAATAATAGCAGTAAAACAGTACTACGAATTGAAGCTAGAGACAATTATGATTTATGAAAACTATCCCTAAGCTTTAGCCTCTTCTGAGAAAATGAAAACCAATTTTTTAAGATTATCAACATACCCATCATTGACATGCGTTTATATTGTATAAAACTGCACACTACTGAGGGGTAACGTGTAACCCAATTATAAACCTCATTTGTAATGCTCTTTTCTTGTTTTGGTGGAGAGGACAATAGTTTCAAAAGATGACTTGATAATGAGAATTACTCTGGACCTCGAGGGTAGTTTTTGTAGTTATTCCTACCAAGACTTATCACTGGCATACCATATCAGCATAGTGTCTCTTATTTGATTGAACCGGCTGTGATAGCCTAGTTAGAGTTATCAGAAGCTTCGACTTTCCCATCCTTTGTCCCTCGGTTTCCTCAAGAACCATCTCAATTTTCGGGGGTAGAGACAACAAAGAATCCTTGATGTGGTTCCCAAATGGATACTTTCGACCAGTCACCAGCTCTATCTTTCTTGAATCAGCTTCTAAGAGGGTATCAAATGACATTACTCCCATCGAATGCAGTGCCTAGTCAGAATTTTCCAGGTATACAAAGTAGAAAACAGTCATGGCTCTTAAGAAATTATGCAGTCAGTTACTCGAATGATATCGGCAGTTTGAGAAACGAACCTTTGCAGTCACCATTCCAACTCCAGGTAATTGCTTCAGCAAGTAAGGACTGTCATCCCATAACTTCTGATGCAAGCATTTGGCAAGCAGTGTTGAATTCAAAGCTCCTCGATAGCTTTTCTTGTAAATAAAGTACTCTTTCATGCACTTCGCAATTCTAGACCCATTTGAGCATATAGAGTTCATGTCCTATAGCATAAAATTTCACGACTGACAAAATTAGAGTCCTGAGACTACTATGCATAAGAATATCATATTAATTACAAAAGTATCCACAAGGTTTAAGCTAATAAAAATATCATGAAACCTGGCTCATGGATAGGTCCCGCACTAAAGGGTCGCCAGTCAAGCAATCATTCACCAGAATAAATATCTTCTCTTCTCTGGTTTGGATGCGCTTTTTCCGCTTTCCTTTATCGTCAAGGATGTGGAAGCGAAGTCGACCATCTTTCTCATTGTTTATGTCATTTAGGAGCTTCTTCTCATTCCGCCTCAGTTGTATCCCTTCATTTTCAGATCAAATGGCATGTATTATCCAGATTTCATAACTTAATGAAGATTATGAATTGGGTGGCATACATACATGAGATTTCTTCTGCCCGGCATATAATGTGAAGAGCATCTTCAATGGTGCAGTTTGCCGGGGCCTGTATAATGTGCTTCATTGTATCGAACTTCAGGTAATACTTTGTCATCAACCTTCCAGGCTCTGCAAAAAAATAAAGAGAAATAAATCATAATACTTGACCTAATAAAATCAGGAATGATGCATAGTGTTGACATACCAAGTGGCTTCAGGAGGAAACCATCTTCATCAGTCCAGACCATCTGATACTGTGACAGCTCATTGACTTTCTGAACACAGATATCTGGAAAATCATTTAAAAGTGTTTCAGGGTATGAACCACGGGATGAATATCTGGCCATCATTGATTAGATTACCTTGTAAGTGCCTTTCTATTTGATTACCAGTCAGCCCTTTTGAAATTGAATAGTTCTGAGGATTCTGATTGTGGCGTGAAAATTCTGAGAATGCAGTCTAGTGAAGGAATTTCCGAAACTTAGTCTGGCTAAAAGAACGTGCCTTTTTCATTCTGACGTATAAGTATGAGCATTTCATCCATTCAATGGCCCTTGTGATATCTGAGACTGTTGATTGTACTATCTCTGCCGTAAGATGCTCTGTCATACATGGTAGCAACCTGGGAAGAAACAAACCATAAAAAATATTGAGTCAGATTTGTACAGAAGTGGTTACACAGAACACATACTGAGGCAGAAGAAAAGGAGAGGTAGGGCATACTGTGATTCCACCATTTCGCACCCATTTAATAAATTCTCATACAGATGGACCTGAAAAACATTACATCAGGTATAAACTTGTGTTTGTCATTAATGTGCAACTATTAACGTTAATTGGAAATAATATATACTGTTTCTTTTCTTGTCATTATTATGACCATTCCCGTGTCATCAAACGGGGGGCGGCCTGCTCTTCCACACATCTGCATGAATTAGAGTTGTGATAGGCACTTCAGGGATCAAAATAGATATATCTTGAATGGTCATGCTTTATATGATTGACCAAAAACCAAGTCATCAAATGATTGTGAGTGAAAATATAAGTATCTTTTTCTTTAAGATCTGAAAAATATTGACACCTGCAGTACCATCGACCGCTCAT